AATCTTCTAATTAATTCCAACTGGTATTCTACCGATCCAAATTCTCATTCGGTTCTAATTTAGCGAAAACGTATATTAAAATCAATCATTAACAATTACATTTTCTTTGTGTCCCCACAACATTATAACCAAATCAGAAAGAAAAAAAAGAACAAAAATTCCACGATTCTTAAGCTCAACGTCATTTTTTGTACAGGTCTTGCCAGTGTAAATATGCGGGTTTTGTGGAATGGTACCACATCTAAAATAATACATTTTCGATGGCTTTGATTACTTATTGGGCCACGTTATTTGATGTGAGTCCATGGACCATCATAGGCATGACTGAAGCCGAAGCTTTATGCCATAATTTACTTATTCTTTTGGGCGATATAATTTATAGCTTCCCTTCGATGAGTAATTGTTCCTAAGCCTTTTTATTCTTATATCCTCTCGATGGATAATGGAGAAAACAAAAGAAGCTTTTTTCACTTTTTGGGAGTTGTGGTTGAGAACTTTTATGCCATTAGAGGGCCTTTTTCGTTGGCTTAATGCTTCCGATTATTATCACAATGATAGTAACTTTTAACTTTTTTAAAAAACTAACGAGTTCTAGCTTTTAGCTTCCAAAATAGTTCGTTATATACTTTTTTTTTTTTTTTGTCAACAGTTCGTTAAAATAATGTCATAATAAGAAGAATTTAAACCATAATGGTCATTAACAAACAAACAAAAAAGATCATTATGCCCATGGTCGAGTAGTATAAACGTACAACATACATTAGATGCGGGCTTTAACTGGTTTCGACATAAAGTAGAAGGCAAATTTAGGAAATCCACATAATTTGATCAATGAAATTTTTTAATGTCTCTGACATTTCAATTTATTAAAATTTAATATACAAAAGTTAGAGTAAAAAAAGGGTCAGTATGCATATAAAAATCTGTTTCATGAATTAAAAGCTGTTCTGTTGAATAGAATACTTCAGACTGAATCTTCGTAGAGAGAAATCAAGGAAGTTTATTCCAAATATTTTCCTCTGCTCAATTTAATTTGAATGTCTGCAATATGAGAGCTTATTCAACTAGATTGAACTCTTGTTTAAAATTTCACTAGACCTTAGTAGAGTGTTTAAAGTGCACTTAGCGCGTAATCAACAAATCAAAGTTGAAATGAAGTTTTTAGAAAAAATAAGGCATTAGATTATATATCTTATTTATTTAAGAATACATTAACTCAAAAGATATTGTTTAGTCATTACCATATTTGTGTATGTGTTAATAAAGTATGGTTTGTTTATTATACAATCTTTTTAAAAATGATATAGTTGTAAGTTCGACTTCATATTTTTTGCAATGTTTGCGACTGTCGCCATATTGTCAACTTATTCCTTACTCCCTCCGTTTTTTATTAGTTATCGTTTTAGAGAATTTTATTTGTTTTAAATTAGTTGTCGTTTTCAGTTTTCAATGCAACACTTATTAGTTTTTTATTTTTTAGGATTATTTTTAGTATGCAATTTGTTTTATTATTGGTTGAATTGTATTTAAATAGATAATTAATGATGTTTTTATATTGAAAAACTAATATAATTAATATTTTCTTGTGTGCATAACCTTAAAACGACAACTAAATAAATTCGGAGGAAGTATTTTTTATTGTATTTTTTAGTCTTCACTAAAATCCATTATAGATAATTAGATTTCTAACTTAAAAACAAACAAAAAAGTCAAGTTTTAAGAAATTTTTTTTTTTAATGCTTTTACAAAATTTTAGCTGATTATATTTAGGGGATTTACCCCCGAGCGTTTACTTACTGTCTCGGCAGTCACGAAGAATAAGATCATGTTTTTGAACAAGAAATTGAAACAATGTATCAATAACCAAACTAAAACCAACAAAAAATGATACCAACCTAACCATACATAAACCTAAAATAATTAATGTTATTTCAACAAAAGGAAGCATGTATTCATAAAAAGCAACGCCAGTTAAATAATTATCAAGTATTCACAAACACGCAGCACAAACATTCACAAACACTCGGCACAAACAATATTCACAAACACTCAACACAAACAAATATCACGTTGGATTTGGAAGCGAATCTTTTTGCACTATATAATGCATACAAATAATTGGCAAATAAATTCACTTTTATCATGCGATTAGACTCAGAAAAGTTCCTACAAAATAGTAAGTGCGTAAAATAGTTCGATGATAAAGCCTTTTCTCAACAACAAAAAAAAGTAGTTCGATGATGTGGACAAATCGAACTAATAAAATATAAAATATATAATGTAAAGAAGAAGAGTAAATCAGGATAATCATTTTTGGGTGTGGAGCCATATCAGACGACGCATCTGTGAAAGAGTATCATTTTACCACTACTATTGCTTTTTATTCGATTTGACATTTATTTCACGATTTGTTTTATTCCTTTTCCTCTTGTTTCTTTTTTGTTTTTCTGGAGTCGGCTATCTTTTTAATTGGGCGTCTGGTAATAATCGTAGCCGTTGCTTGTGCGTTTATTTGAGTTTCTACGGTTGTGATTAAAAGTTACTAGTCCTTAGATCTAAATCTAACTGTACAACTTTTGTCTACCGTCCAGATAGAGAGAAGAAAGTACTGTCAAAGTCAGAGATTCGGTCTCTCTAGTCTCTGTCTACTCGACTATATTGCCACGTAGCTTCCATAAAAGAAAAAGATAATCAAATCAAAACGCGCGATCTACATTGCACTATGAAACACAATCGCTATTTGTGCTTCCAAACCCCTAGAAGAGCAGTGTCGGTGTTTTTGGCATCTTGCAGCTCTCTATTTGCTTCATTAGAAAAATAGTAATCACTAATGACATAGGGTTTTGTGATTGGTAGCACAATTTAGAGTAGAAAGAGATGATCGAATTTTGAACCTCTTTTTTTCCAGTTACCAAATGAACAAACAGATGAATTCACAATTTAAATTAGCTGTTTGAAATTGAAACAAATTTTTTATAGACAGCCTAGACTGTCTATTACAAATTACCAACAATCGTTTTTTGTTTTTTCTCTTCTTACCAAACAATTCTAATTTTCGCAATAGCCATTCAACTTTTATTTGTATTAAATGTTACTTAAAATTCGTTCCGAATAATAAATATCATGTGATAGATTAAGATCGTGAGTAAAACTTTATGTAGAAAATAACTTTTTGAATAACACTTTGAAATGGAGGGAATAGTATGTAAGAAAACATTTATATAAGAGCTTATGACACATTACCATCAATTCAGATATCACAGAAAATTATAATATAAAGCACTGATGATTAAAGAAAGGGGAGTTAAAAAATGGAGTAATTAAGGAACCGTGATTAAGGTTGTGTGTCAGTCTTTTGTCTGCAGATTAGCCGATGAAGGAAGACTGAAATGAGATAGAGAGTTGTGTAATAAGGAGACAAGAAATGACTAGTGATCAATAATCCATTCCATGGAAATTCCCAAATTAGCCTTCGTTACTTGACCGGAACTCTCACGAACGAATTTTTGTTCGGGTTTTCAGTAAAATCATTGTCACACGTGGAAGAAACATGGCCAATGTGTTCATTAGATTAACCAAAAGCCTAACCGTTGAATATTGCTCTTAATTAATGGAACACAATAATTCCTGTTTGTATTCATGTAAACATGGACAAGCTCCATTCTAAAATCAATTATTTTACTTATTAGCTTTTGTTTAATCATTCGTGTGATAATTAAGAAAGCGACTGATATCTTATTTCAAATTTGATTAATTTTGTAAATGTTCAAATTTTACAATAAAAGCTATAGATGTATATATATTTTTGAACATAGAAAGCTATAGTGATATACTGTATAATAGAATGGTCTAACGTGATAAAAAGAGTTTATTTTGTACATATATTTATCTCGGAGCTTATTAAATTCGAACGATCAAAACTGTAGGATAACATGAAATATTCCTCGTATCACTTGAGTTTTAAATATGACCATAATGGCTGCCAAAGAAAAAAAGGAAAAAACATGACCATGATGGTAAATAGGTAACGTTTGGCTAGGTAATGTTTGGGTAGATAATTAAAGCAAATGGAAAACGACTTTAATAAAATGGGAATTAAAAAATCATCAAAATGAAAACTGAGATGGGTTTCGTGTATAAATGTCCAAATTCATTTAACTTTCCTAGACATTGGAATATGTGTCTTATGGGACAGAGTCGATAGGAGTGTGATCCTAACATACCAGAGAAATATCGTAGAATCGTCTGTTTCTTTTTACGGCAACCATATTTTAATATATACTTGTATTTATTCTACTCAGCTGCCTATATGTACTTGGTACTTACCAGAAATTTAGTGGCATTAATATGTTTACAGTTTACTAATTAATCGGTGATTGTTACTATTGACCTAATGTTAGTAATAGTCTCTTTCTTTAACAAAAAAAATAACATTTTCTTTTTCGAATTTTTGGTGTATTTAACCTTTTTTTATTCAATATTAATGAGATTTTTGTTAAACAACAGCTTTCAATGAATATGTTTATTTAGCTATACACTACAGAGTAGTGTGACAAATGAAAAAAATAGAGCAAAAATAGAACATAAATTAAAACTAACATTAAAAAAATGAAGAAAAAAGAGAGGGGTTTAAAAAGAGGCCTATGGGGTTGAATCAAAAGAGCACGCTTTGCTTCATCCACTTTTTTTTACCTTTCTTCGAGAGAGAGAAGAGGGTTGCGTGTGTTCCACACCAATAAATTCCTTTTTTTAATTAATTTATCTCTTTGTTTTACTGTTTTCCTTGGTCTCCAATTTATTAATTTCTGGTTTGATCTCTTTTGTTTTCGTCTGGTTTTATCACTGTCTCTCCTTCCGTATAAATCGGACTTCGTCTCCTCTTTTTGCTGTATTCCCAATAATCTCGTCCTTTTCATAATTAAGAGACAGAACAAAAAAAAAAAGTGAAAACGGAAGTGTATGTGAGAGAAGAGAAGAAGAACCCACCAAAAAGTTCACTTTTTTTTTTTTTTTGAAAAAAGTGAAGCTTTGATTTGTATAAAAGACCCACTGATCACCTCTCTCGCTTCTCACACCATTTTATCTCCCTCTCTCTTTCTCTCTCTGATGTTTTCTTAGTTGCTTTTAGGGGTTTTGAGAGTTGCAGGCTTGCAGCTATTTCGTTTTCGTTTTCTCTCTGCCCTTCACAAACCAAAAAAGCAAGAAATGTATTCATCTTGACGATTTTCAAGTAGACAAATTTGTTCTTTTGCGTGAACAAGTTGTCAACTTTTGAGACGAATTTCCAGCCTTTTTTTTCTAGTGTTTGGTCAAAGAACGCAATTTCTCTAAAACCTAATGGAGGGTTGTTCAAGAAACGGTGAAATCTCTCCAAAGCTGCTCCATTTGATTCCACAAGGAGGAAGAAATTCGTTTCACGATGACAAAACCTCTGTTTACAACACTGAAGAGAAGAAACTTGAGCTAAAGCTTGGACCACCTGGTGAAGATGAAGACGAAGATGGTACATCGATAAGAAGACACATCAAGAAAGAACCAAAAGACAACTCTATCCTCTCTCTCGCTGGCAACCACTTCTCTCCTTCTTTCACCACCAAGACATCCGCATCTCAGAAAAGGTTCAAAATCCTTTCTTTTTGTTAACCCCACCCGTTGATTTTACATCTCTGAGTTTTGTTTTCATCTGTTTTGTATCCTTTAGATATGATGATATTCACTTGCTATTAACCAATAATGGTCCCATCATCTGCAAAAAAATATTCATTTTAGTTTAAGATTGGATCTCAAAGTTTTTTACCTTGTCACATGTCCAAGTTTCAGGCTTTTTACTGCCTCTGTTTTGCCTTTTTTCAGATTTATTCACAGTATTTGCTCTGTTTCTCACTTTCACTTATGTAATCATCTTCAGATTCTTTTAAGAATTTCCTCTGTTGTTGATGACTCTTTATTAATAAGTTTCTTCATGTCTATGATGTATTGTGTCACAGAACTGCTCCTGGTCCAGTGGTGGGTTGGCCTCCGGTTCGATCATTCAGGAAGAATTTAGCTAATGGGAGCTCTTCAAAGCTTGGTAACGAGTCCAACTCCAATGGTGTTCTCCTCAAGAACCAACAGAGTGAAGATGATACTGGCCGAGGAAAGCCAACGGAACCAAAGAGACAAGGAGGCATGTTCGTGAAGATTAACATGGATGGTGTTCCCATTGGTCGTAAAGTCGATCTCAATGCGCATAATAGCTATGAGAAGCTATCTTTCACAGTCGACCAGCTCTTTAGAGGTCTTCTTTCAGGTAAATTTGCCCTTTGACTATTTTCTTGTTCGTGGCAAAAAGGCTCACAAAAGATTATTCGTTTCTCAACTCACATCTCTTTTGTGATTATTTTTTTTTTTTCTGATGTTATCAGCTCAAAGAGAATCACTATCCTCTGGAGAAGAAGAGAAACCAATCACTGGATTATTGGATGGAAATGGGGAGTATACTCTTACTTATGAAGACAGTGAAGGAGACAAGATGCTCGTCGGAGATGTCCCATGGCAGTAAGAATCTTTTTTCCTCTGTTTTGTTTTTTCTGAGTCTGATTCAGCTTTTTTCTCTATCTAAAGGAGAAGAATTAGATTCCTAGTCATATATTCATTATATCTAACCATACTTTGATCAATAACAAATATAAGAATCTTAGTTTGGTAATATTTTTTCTAAAAAATATTTGTGACTTAAGATATCAAAAAAGTTGAATTTTCTTGATTATCAGTATGTTTGTATCTTCGGTGAAAAGGCTGCGTGTGATCAAAAGCTCTGAGATTTCTTCAGCATTAACATGTAAGTGAAATTTTCGTCCTGAGATTTGAAAACATTTCACTGTCGTATGACTCGTTATGTGAAATTATAGGATTTTTATTTGAATTTTGCAGATGGGAATGGTAAGCAGGAGAAGATGAGAAGCTGAAGAAAGAACTTTGACAGCTTAAAGAAGTAGAGATGTTATAATTTTGCTTTTGCCTTTTTTACTCTGATGAGTTCTGGTCTTGAAAAGTTTCTAATTCAAGTCTGATGTACATGGTGCTTGGTTTGCTACATCTTCTTTTGACTTTTGAGATTTTCATAGATGAGTTTTGTTGGATCTCAAGATCAGACAATTAAAAGGTTGATTTTGGGTCTTGAGTAAATTACAGACCCTTTTAGGCATTATAGTCTCTTCTGTTTAAAGCTTTAGGATCATGATTACTCACACTTAATGAACACCAATTTTAAGTATTACTATAACTCACTATTTCTGCAAAGCATCTTTTTTGAAAAGAGGAAAAGAGAAATCTTTTTCTCTGCAAAAGTGCTTTAGCTTTCATTAACTCTACTTCAGCTATTGTAATGAACTATTGAGGGTGAAAGGTTTTTAAGACATCTAACAACTTTTCTTTAAATGAGTTGTAAGGACAGATCTGCTTAACCCGTTTCTATTCATATCTTGATATATATTTGTCTTGGCTAACAAAATTATATATATTATTAGAGAAAAACATCGGCACTAGACTAAATATCATCTCCTGATTAATGATCTAAATATTTGATCTAACATAATAAAGATTTCAGATTGGGTTGTTGCATACTTGCATGTATGTGATCTTGAAGAAAAAACTAGAAAAAAATTGGTGGCTATGGAATTTTAAGAAAGAGACATAAAAAAGTCATTGAATGCAATGAAGAGTCTTTTTCGTTGAGAGACTTGCCTAACTCTTCAAAGGAGCAATAGGAGACTCAATAGTTACTTTTTCTATCTGCCCTAAAATGAACATTGTATTTTCTTTTGTAGTCTACATTGATATGATGGCTGATCTGTTTTCCTCCACATTTTAGGATCATTCTGTCTATGACAAAAGAATAATATTCTAACCTAAGATGAAGCCACGTTTACTCTTTTAGTAATGAGTTAGATAAATTATTTTCATCAACATGTTAACGGCAAGTAACATTGAATCCTATAAAAAATGAGGACTCAAAGCTAGCGGACCAACGTTTTAAATCTAAAGAAAAAGAGGTTTGATCCTAGATAAAAAGATTTGATCCTAAAGAAATGCTTCAAATTCTAAGGAAAAAATGGCCAATGACTAATGCTCACATAAAGCCCGAATTTTAAGGAAAAAAAAGTTTAATATACTTATGAAAGGCCATATTTTGCTCTTGAAAGTCTTATTAAAAGGGGTAAAAAATTAATTTGGTGTTGTCGAGAAATTCTAGTCCAAAAAGATAGTATGAGCTTTGGTGTTGTTAAGAAAATTGAATCTCTAGGGAAATAAATATTTTACACTAACATGTTATTCTAATTTTTTTGATGGATCTAGAATTTGAAAGCGGTTTAAAAAACTAAAACGAATGATTAAAGGGAGAAGAGAGGACGAACAATTTAACGAACCAAAGAGATGTGTGTAATACTCCGTCTATTTTATAATAATTGATTTTCTAAGGTTTTATTCATGTTGCACAATAGTTAATTTTCTACATTTAATTAATGTTTGTCTGTTCTTTAAATTAATGATTTATAGTTAATATATGTTATTTTAACATATGTTAATTGAGATAGATGAATTATGATTGGTTTATTACAATAAAAAGCTGTTTTAGTAAGAGAAAATAATATATTTATAGCTAAACATTAAAAGTTTCTTAATTAGCGTGAAAAATCTAAAAAATTAATTATTATAAAACAGAGGGAGTATTTTTTAGCAAAAGGAAAGGATATTTTAACCAAAAAAGAAAGAAATGAGGTGTTTATTTCCAAACAAAAAGGTCTTTTCATTTTAAAAAATCATTAAGAGATGGATTTTCCCAAGTTGGTCATGGATATACAAAATTTGGTGTGTGTGTTGGAATCCGATATTAATAAGCATTTGGACTTGTAATATTGAGTTTGTGTGTGAATAAGAAATGAAGTTTAATAAGCAAATGGGCCTTATAAATTCATTTGAGATTTGAGTTTGAGCCTATGGAAATGAAATGTTCCTTTTGGTTATAACTAAAAGTGGAAGTTTAGTGGAAGTGTATTTGTCCCACATTGCTCACAAAGGAGAAAAATCTCTTGTATAAATATGACCTTCTCACAATAAGGGTCAACAACATTGTGGAAGTAAAAGGGCATTATGCAAAAACACCTACGCGCGCCGCCGCCGCCACCGTCGTCGTCGCCGGTGCCGGTGCCGGGCTCGGGCTCTTTGCTCGTTGCATTTTTTAATTGGCTCTTGGGCTCTTGGGCTCTATATAGCTGGGTGTGGGTCGTGGACTTCTTAGTTCCTGCGAAATATTTTTTGCATATTGAAAGGATAAATCTTAGGAAATAAAAGATTGCGTCCAGATAATAAAGGAAGATTTCCGAATCCTTTTACTCGTGGAAATAGGAGAATATCTCGTAATATTCCTTTTCGCAAAAGCTTATTCCTTGCAGATCAAGCTGAACCTTCCAGTATAAATAGACGCCCTCTTCTCTCATTCTAGATCATCGAATGAAGAATCGAATTCTCGAATACACCAAACACACAACAAATAATTCTTTCCAACAAATCCCTCTCGTCTTAATATCGTAAGTGTCTCGAGAGTTATAGTGTAGTATAATTTCAGTTCGCAGATTCTATTACAGGTGTTGCGCAATAGTCTCATCACGGTTGTATCCTGGGATTCAAAAATTGCAAACAAACCGTCACACATTACAGGCGATTTATTGAGTTAAGGAAAGAGATCATATCTCGACTCCGTGTTTTCGTCTGTTTTTAATCGGTTTTCTAACTCTCGTTTTAATCTCTTACCTTAACATATCGTTTATAAAATTGCTATTTTCTATTCGTGATTTCAATCGGATTTTCGCGGTCTTACAATCTTAACTCAATAAATCCGCTTCCTGCTTATCGCTTGAATCGGATTGAATTTTGCGAAACAGTTCTTATAAACGGTTTTTGAGAAAACGAGTTTTTAAAATCGATCTACAAAGTGTCTGCGAAAGTTTCTTAGCTATTTCGTAGAACTTTTGATCTGTTAAATACGAATCTTCTGAAACGGTTTATGCGGCAGTCTTAGACAGGCCCGCAAAACGTGTTAGGGTTTAAGAACGTCATCAAAAGACGATTCTGGGAACACCTATTTTCGAGTTCTAAGAATACCTATTGGTAATATCTGTGGAAACTCAAAGCGAATCCTTTTCGGAAAAACGCTGTTCATAGCGACTTAAACGTTTTAATTGCTGATTTGAATCTTGGTTCTCAATACTAACTTCAGTTATCTTCTGTGAACAGATTCAACTATGACTGATGGTGATGTCAACATGACTACCAATGGAAGCTCGGGTGAAGTCAGGATGCCAGCGTCGGTAACCGCATGACTTCAGCCCGACAAGTTCGATGGTTCGAACTTCAAGCAGTGGCAAGAAAGGATGCACTTCTTTCTGTCGTCAATGCAGCTGAGCAAGTACCTCACAGAGGATCCCCCAACAGTGCCAGACGGAAACAAAGATGTTACGATTCTGGTTACCGTTGAAGCATGAAAGCACTTAGACTTTCTATGCAAAGGGCACATCAAAAATCGCCTGGTGGACCAGCTGTTCGATGTGTACAGTGAGGTCAAAACTTCCAAAGAACTTTGGGATGCTTGGGAAAAGAAGTACAAGTCGTACAATGTCGACTCTGGGAAATTTGCTACAGCGAAACTCCTCAAGTTTGAGATGGTGGATTCTCGTCCCATCATGCCACAAGTGCACGAGCTGGAACTAATCTTTCAAGAGATTAGGACTGAAGGAATGAAGCTATGTGAGACATTCACAGTGAACTGCTTCATTGAGAAGTTACCTCCAAGTTGGGCAGACTTCCAGAACTATCTTGCTTACAAGCAAAAGGCCCTGTCTCTGGCAAATCTGATCTCCAGATTGCAGAATGAGTCACTAAAACGTGACAAAGTTGGAAAAGACGATGGTCAGATCATGACCCATGATGCAAACGTGGTTGAGTACAGAAAAAAGGGCAAAGGCAAACCATCCAACAAGGCTGTGCCTAACAAGTTTCCTCCACGAAACAACACTAGCTTCAAGAAGCAAGGTAGAGCACCCATGAAGAACAAGTTCAATGGGAAGTGCAACTACTGCAACAAGCTTGGACATAAGTCTTCAGAGTGTCGCCGAAAGGCTAAGTCTGAGAACAACCAAGTTCACTTGACTGAAGTAGACCTGTGTGCAATGGTTACAGAGGCTAACTTGGTGGAAGAGAACCCCAAGGCGTGGTGGTATGACACAGGTGCTACCACACACATCTGTATTGACAGAGAGATGTTCAGTACCTATCAGAAGTGCAAGACTGATGATCAATTGAAGATGGGAAACGTCTCCCAATCCAAGATTGAAGGTACTGGAAAAGTTGTGTTGAAGATGACTTCAGGCATGAAGGTTACTCTCAACAACGTGAAGCATGTTCCAGACATGAGGAAGAACCTGATCTCTGGTACTCTAATGAGCAAGCATGGTTTTGCAATCAACTTTGAGTCTGACCAGCTGATACTTAGGAAGAATGGTGTTTTCATAGGAAAATGTTATGTTAAGTCAGGATTAATCAAAATGTCTGTAATGACAATCCTGAAGAAAAACAAAGTTGTACCTGATTCCAAAGATTTAATTAATAAGAATCCAGTTGCTTATGTGGTTGAGTCTTCTAATATTTGGCATGAACGTTTAGGACATGTTAATTACAAGTCTATTCAAAGACTGATGAATTTGAACATGATTCCAAAATGCAAAATTAGCAAAGGCAAATGTGAAATTTGTGTCCAAGCAAAGCTCACAAAAACACCAGCACCTCATGTTGAACGAACTACTGAACTTCTTGGATTAATCCACACTGATCTGTGTGATTTAAAATATCTACCATCAAGAGGTGGTAAAAAGTATTTTGTGACTTTCATTGATGATTGTACAAGGTACTGCTACGTGTACTTGCTGCGTAGTAAAGATGAAGTCTTGGACAAATTCAAAGAGTACAAATTCGAAGTTGAAAAGAAACTGGCAAAGACCATCAAGATGGTCAGAAGTGATAGGGGTGGACAATATGATGGACCTTTCAATGAGTTTTGCCAGATAAACGGAATCATCCATCAAACTACAGCCCCCTATTCACCTGAATCCAATGGAGTTGCGGAAAGAAAGAATCGAACTCTGAAGGAGATGATGAATGCAATGTTGCAGGAATCTGGGACACCCCAGAATCTGTGGGGGGAAGCACTGC